ATGTATGAAACAGATTCAGAGATAAAATATTTCTTAATTTGGAAAGCATCTTTAGCAGAACACAAAAAGTTTCAATGTATCCATTAAGTTTATATGGTAAACTTTAAGGAACTAAAATTTGCAGAGAACACTAAATGTGGAGTTTTGCCTAAACCAAGCTCATATCTGAACCCCTGAAGAGGAAAATATTGCTGAGGCTTTTTTTAGCAAGTTTTACTGGAGTGACTTCCTAATTCTACCTTATATGTGGTAAAGATATTTTAATAGAGAATATTTACTTTACAGTTCTGGAGACTTAAGCAAAACATTATTTAAATCTCTGTTCAAAGTCCAATTTCTTTGTCTGGAATTTAAAGTTTTTCTCAGAAAAGAGAAGTTTTTCTTTAAAAAGTCTGTTTTACCATAAAAGGAAAACAAATTTAAATGTGTTCCAACACATTTATTTTCTACAACTTGTAAATGGAAAGAGCCAACAACCAAATTGTTCTCTTATAGATTCATACACATAAACTGAAAAATCTGTCATCATATTAAAGACAGACATGAAAAACCTTATGGAAATAAACGATTTGCTTTCCAATTTTTAAAACACAAGGTGAATTATACTATAGAAGCACTAATAAATAAAGAAGGCTAGGCATTTAACATTTGCTTTTTAAAAGACTGGAAACAAGAAATATGAAGCAGCACTGCACACAAATATTTACTTCATATTCAAAATTATAAAGCATTTCAAGATACCTATCAATGAAAATAATGGCAAAAAGCCTTGTGTGCGCTTGTTAATATGTAATCCAAAATTGTTTTAAAAGTGCTTGAGTATAAATTTACTTAAGATATTTGCTGAATTTGTCTTGCTTATGATATTAAGAATACTTATTAAACACAACAATTTTTACAATGGCAGCATGTGATAAAATGATAAAATGTCCCTTCTGACGACAAGTCAAACCAGAGTCAACCCTCACTTTCCCAACTCTGGTTACCCAAATTTAAGGGAACGAACAGATTTGGAAAGTTCTGAAATACCTCTGGAATCACCAATAACCAAATTCTTACTACTTGCTACCTGAAACTCAGAAACCAAACAGATTTCAATAGTAGGCCTCTCCTTAGCTACCTGAACTTATAGCCCAAACTTTCTCTGTTTGCACTCAGGGACCCAAAGGATTCAGATGTCTGGGAATACTTATTTTCTTTAGTTTTGTTGTTGTTTTTGTTTTTTGAGATAGGTCTTGCTCTGTAGCCCAGGCTGGAGTGCAATGGTGTGATCACGGTTCATTGCAGCCTCAACCTCATGGGTTTAAGCGATCCTCCTGCTTCAGACTCCTGAGTAGGTGTGACACAGGCATGTTATCACCATGGCCAGCTAATTTTTTGTAGAGATGGGGTCTATGTTGCCCAGGCTGGCTGCAAATTCCTGGGCTCAAGTAATCCTCCCACCTTGGCCTCCCGAAGTACTGAGATTACAGGCATGAGCCACTGTGCCTGGCTTTTTCGCTGTTCTTTGGTTCACCCTTTGTACACAAAAATGGGATTTTATATTTTGATTTTTTTCTTGTATGTAGGTATTACCTGTTTAGTATTTTCTCATGCTATTACATAGTCCTCATAAACATCATTTTAATAACTTTTTAACATTCCCATTGAAGGCATTTGGTGTAATTTATATAAATTCTGTGCTATCTCTGCATGTTTATCTGGTCCATTTTTCCCCAAAACTATGATGCAACAAAAATCTCCAAACACCTTTTATATATTTAAAGCAAATTTTATTCTGTGTTACAAATACAGCTAAGTATTTTATACTATTTTAAGTGAAATGTTCAATAATAAAATAGACATTAAAAAGTAAAAAGTTTTTCTCTTTTCCTCTTTTTTTTTTTTTTTTTTTTTTTGAGACAGAGTTTTGTTCTTGTTGCCCAGGCTGGAGTGCAATGGCACAATCTCGGCTCACTGCAACCTCTACCTCCCAGGTTCAAGTGGTTCTCCTGCCTCAGCCTCCTAAGTAGCCAAGACTACAGGCGCCCACCACCACGCCTGGCTAATTTTGTATTTTTAGTAGAGATGGGGTTTCATCATATTGGTCAGGCTGGTCTTGAACTCCTGACCTCAAGTAATCCACCCGCCTTGGCCTCCCAAAGTGTTGGGATTACAGGCATGAGCCACTTCACCCAGCTTTCCACACCCCCCCCAAAGAGACAGAGTCACAGTATGTTGCCTTAGGCTCGAGTGATCTTCCCACCTCAGCCTCCTGAGTAGCTTGGGACTACTGGCAAAAAGTTGTTCTGTTTAAAGTAAGCCAGTAACAATAACAAAATAAAACAAAGATTTTTAACAAATTGTAACTTAGTAAACATTCTTTTGATAATTACCTGCTCTCATTTCTTAGGGTTCAAAATATAAATCTTAAAAGTTCAAAATAAAAATCCTTCTTCTAAAGATTTGTAGTTTATTTTATTTTTTAGAGACAGGGATTTGCTCTGTTGCCTAGGTTAGAGTGCAGTGGCACAACCATAGCTCACTGGAGTCTTGAGCTCCTGGGCTCAAGGGGTCCTCCCACCTTAGCTTCTTGAGTAGCTAGGGCTACATGCATGTGCCATCATTCCTGGGTAATTTTTTTTGTTGTTGCTGTTGTTGAGACAGAGTCTCGCTCTGTTGCCCAGGCTGGAGTGCAGTGGTGTGATCCTGGCTCACTGCAACCTCCATCTCCCAGGTTCAAGCGATTCTCCTGCTTCAGCCTCCTGAGTAGCTGGGATTACAGGCATGCATCACCACACCTGGCTAATTTTGCGTATTTTTAGTAGAGATGGGGTTTCATCATGTTGGCCAGGTTGGTCTCAAACTCCTGACCTCAAGTGAGCAGCCCACCTCAGCCTCCCAAAGTGCTGGGATTACAGGCATGAGCCACAGCTCCCAGCCTCTGCTGGATAATTTTTTAAAGTTTTCTGTAAGGACAGGATCTCACTATGTTGCCCAAGCTAGTCTTGATCTCCTGGCCTCAAGGGATCCTACTGCCTAGGCCCATGAAAGAGCTGAATCACAGACGTGAGCCACAGCACCTGGCCTAAAGATTTGCATTTTAGATTATATATTCTTTTAGTTGATATCAGTGGACATCAATTATTTTGCCCCAGCTCCCGTTGCCAATTTCCCATAAAAATGAGATTTAGTAATTAGAAGGTTACAAAAAGATGTACTAATCTTTGCTTTATAAATATTGTTTTATTTGTTTATTTATTTACTTTTTAATTTTTTTTGGAGACGGAATCTCACTCTGTCGCCCAGGCTGGAGTGCAATGGTGCAATCTCGGCTCACTGCAACCTCTGCCTCTCAGATTCAAGCAATTCTCCTGCCTCACCCTCCCGAGTAGCTGGGATTACAGGTATGTGCCACCACCCCGGCTAATTTTTGTATTATTAGTAGAGATAGGGTTTCACCATGTTAGCTAGGCTCATCTCAAACTCCTGACCTAAGGTGATCCGCCTACCTTGGCCTCCCAAAGTGCTGGGATTACAGGCGTGAGCCACCATGCCAGGCCAAATACTGTTTTAAAAGGACACAGAAACATGTCACATTTATTAAATAAATTGCCTCAAAGTAATATTCAACTTATACTTAATATTATAGTATCAAAACTGCAAAAACAGAAGCTCTGCGAAAACTATTAAATGAAATTCTCAGTTTCCTTGAAGGATCTCCAAGGAGTGTAACATTTGATGTGCTGAATTTGTGACTGTTTTAATTACCAAGTATGACCCTTAGAACCCCCAAGTGCTCCTGAGGTAGCAGGGCAGGGTAGTGGGGGGCACATATGAATGAATATTCACACAATGAAATTATGAGCATAAAAACTTGGGAAACTACATTTCCAAGAAAGGAGAGCAGAATGAGAAGAATGCCTGAGAAAGTATTTGCTTGATGGAAAAAACCACAGACATTATCAACAAATCTTTACCACACACGATGACCTCTACTTAACAAAAACCAAGAAAATATCACAACCTTGCAATTGTTATAGATTTAAGCAGCTTTTGTGACTTTCAAGTAAAAAGGAATTCATGGTATCTTTGTTCAGAATTCAGCAGAGGTCTAAATCACTTCAAAAGCCAATTTATCATTTTGTTGGTCTGTCTTCGGCTCACTGCAACCTCCACCTCTTGGGTTCAAGCAATTCTCCTGTCTCAGCCTCCCAAGAAGCTAGGATTATAGGCACCTGCCACCACACCCAGCTAATTTTTGTATTTTTGGTAGAGACGGTGTTTCACCATGTTGGTCAGGCTGGCCTCAAACTCCTGACCTCAGGTGATCCACCCAGCTCGGCCTCCCCAAAGTGCTAGGACTACAGGTGTGAGCCACCGTGCCCAGTCAAGCCAATCTATCTTTAAAATATATATATATTTTTGAGACAGAGTCTTGCTCTATTGCCCAGTCTGGAGCACAACGGTGTAATCTCGGCTCACTGCAACCTTGGCCTACCAGGTTCGAGCGATTCCACCACCTCAGCCTTCCACGCAACTGCGATTATAGGCGCACGCCACCATGCCTGGCCTCTTTAAAATATTCTTAAAGATAGCCTTTTACAACTTCCCATGGGTAGGTAGTTGAGGTCAGATTGTAGGACAATCTACCGCTACTACCTCTCTAAAAAGCTCCTGCTACTCTGAGGGCCATCTTCAGAATGGAATGCCCAAACTAAATAATTATTTTTCTGGCTTCATTTACTCTAAGAAATTTATTTAAGAACCTCAAAATTAATAAGCTTGAAAGTTTCCCTCTTTTCTATGGTGGCCAATATGAAATGCTCAGCTCCATCTGTGAATGCAAATGCAACAGAAATATTTTTCTCAAAAGAGAGAAATAGTATGAAAAGGTTTGCTGACGGCCATTTAAACACTTCTGCTATAACAAACATATTGAGATCCTCATTTTACCTCTCACTTTTCAGTTTTAGCCCCTGACTTCATTAAAATCAAGGTGAAAAATACTCTGTACTCACTCTGGCATTCTATGAATTGATGAATAAAAGTGCAGTCCCCGCCACTCTTTGAAAGCAAGTGCTCTAATAAAGAAAGAAACACCTTTAAGGATATAGTTTGTTGCTGTCTTTGAAAACCAACAGCAAAGGTAGGAAAACAGAAATGTATTAACATGGTACTAAGTAAGACTAATAAAGGTTCAATATATTTTGATACTAAAGCAGACATATTTTGGAGTTAAACGACTGAAAATTATTATTAATTTGTACACTGAATGGTTAGCTTTTAAAGGTGTAGTTTTTATCCAAAGAGGTCAAGAAAATCACATAAATAAATTGTTTTAAAATAATTCTTCCACTTTAAAGGTTCTTCTATCTTTTGTCCACTAGAGCTCAACAAATACCCTTAAATAATTTATTTGTCATTATTGAATTAATTTTCAAGTGATTGTTCTATAATACTCCCTCTTCAAAGTTATTCATCTTAGTTAAGAGGCAAAAGGTAAATACTTTAAGAATATCATAAAGTAATACCATAAAATTTTTAAGAAACTGATGTAATAAGTTTTACATATTCATTTCATAATCTTCCCCTTTGAGTCACTTAATCTGTACCTCATATAGTATTAAAACATTAAATTGTTTATCTCTGCCCAAATGATCAAAATCAGTGCCTATTCATTTCAAAGTAAGAACTTGGTAAATGGTTTTGCTCAAGTCAAACAGAATGTATTTTTCATTTAAAAAAATGGATGGAGACAATAAAAACCTAACATTAGCGGTTAAATAAAAGTTCCACTCCTTTTCTTACAATAATCTTTATTGTGATTTAAAGAGTTACTTCTGAATCTGGATAATGTCCTTTAACACGTATTTATATCTTTCAAAACTACCAAATCGATTTTGGAAGTTAAAGTGTTAAAAACATATTCTGACATAATGACTACTTGGAAAGTGTGAAAGCATTAGAATCTGTCAAAGGGGACACATGAGTTGGCACCACTCTCCCTATAAAAGCCTCCTTCCCCTCTCCTCCACCTCAAGCCACGTTACTCCTCGATCGTCTCAACTTTGCATGACAGGCAGATACCACCTACTCCGATCATGCCTTATCTCTCTTTATATCCTTCCTGTTAGCTATCTTCTCTAATTCTATACTAAAATCTATCATTATGCTTTAGTAAGTTACAAGGTGTGCAGAGCCTCCCATCTATCATCACAATCAGTGTAAGGCTAAAACATGTAGGGAAAAGGTTGATAAAACTTGTGCTTCGGAGAGACCAATGCATTACATACCTAGAATACTATATAGAGATACAATATAGCCTCAAAAAGAAAAAAATACTAACTGCAACATAAATTTTAAATTAAAAAAAAATCGAATAAATAAGAATTTGACAACTGGAGCCAGAAAAAGCAAAACAGGAGCCCTCAGTATAATAGTAATTGCCAAGATAGAAAGTTGTTTTTCATAAATCCTATTTTAGATATGGTAACACTTTCAAACCTCAAACTATACCACCATGTTATATACATAAACTCATTTGTAACGAAATTTTAACTTAGCTAAAGGACTTTACAAAACATATTTGAAACATATTTCAGACTAATATCAAAGGACTTAAGATGACATTTATTAAAGAGGGACATCCCACTATTACTTACAAAGCTAACAATCACACTTTGAACTCTACATTAAAATATTTACTAAACTGGTTTAGATAAAATCCAAGATTAATATAAAAAGATACAAAACAACTCTAATTAAAATACATTTTATTTATATATATGAGTTTCCTATGGATTTTTATTTATATACCTATGCTATCCAATACAATAGCCATTAGCTACTGTAGTTACTGAACCCTTCATAAGTGGCTAGCTCTAACTGAGATGTCCTAAGCATAAAACAAATGTACAATGATTTCAATGAATTAGTAAGAAAATTGTAATATGAAATATTTCATTAATAATTTATTAATCATTTTAATATTTATTAACATTGAAATAATATTTTAGATGCTATAGGCAAAATATTTGAATTTGTTTTGTTTATATATACATATGATAGAGATGGGATCTTGCTATGTTGTCTGGGATCAAGTGCAGTAGTTATTCACAGGTGTGACTGCAAAGCACTATAACCTCAAACTCATGGCCTTAAGGGGTCCTGCCACCTTAGCCTCCCAAGTAACTGGGACAACAGGCATGTACCACTGCACCCAGCTTTATATATATATATATATATATATATATTTTTTTTTTTTTGAGACAGAGTCTCGCTCTGTCGCCCAAGCTGGAGTGCAGTGGCCGGATCTCAGCTCACTGCAAGCTCCGCCTCCCGGGTTCACGCCATTCTCCTGCCTCAGCCTCCCGAGTAGCTGGGACTACAGGCGCCCGCCACCGTGCCCGGCTATTTTTTTGTATTTTTTAGTAGAGACGGGGTTTCACCATGCTAGCCAGGATGGTCTCGATCTCCTGACCTCGTGATCCGCCCGTCTCGGCCTCCCAAAGTGCAGGGATTACAGGCTTGAGCCACTGCGCCCGGCCAGCTTTTTATATTTTTAATGTGTGTGATGGTTAATACTGAGTGTCAACTTGAATGGACTGAAGGATACAAAGTATTAATCCTGGGTGTGTCTGTGAGGGTGTTGCCAAAGGAGATTAACATTTGAGTCAGTGGGCTGGGAAAGGCAGACCTACCCTTAATCTGGGTGAGCACAATCTAATCGGCTGCCAGTGGGGCTAGAATATAAGCAGGCAGAAAAATGTGAAAAGAGAGACTGGCCTAGCCTCCCAGCCTACATCTTTCTTCTGTGCTGGATGCTTCCTGTCCTTGAACATCAGACTCCAGGTTCTTCAGTTTTGGAACTCGGACTGGCTCTCCTTGCTCCTCAGCTTGAAGATGACCTATGTGGGACTTTGTGATCATGTCAGTTAAGACTTAATAAACTCCCCTTTATATATATAATATATATATTCCATTAGTTCTGTCCCTCTAGAGAACCCTGACTAATACAATGTGGCCGCCAGAATTTTTTTAAATTAAAAAACAGGGTCTTACTCTATTGTCCAGGCTGGAGTACAGTGGTACAATCATAGTTCATTGCAACCTTGAATTCCTGGGCTCAAGGGATCCTCCCTCCTCAGCTTCCCAACTATCTAGGACTACAGATGTGTACAATCACACTTGGCTAATTTTTAAATTTTGTGTAGAGACAGAGGTCTCACTATGTTGCCCAGGCTGGTCTCAAACTAATGGCCTCAAGTAGTCTTCCCTGCTTAGCCTCCCAATGTGCTGGGATTATAGGCACATGATACCACACCTCACTAATTTAAAAAAAAAAAAAAAAAAAAAGCAAGTAATCTTTTTATAGATGGGGTCTCACTATATTGTCCAGGCAGCTTTCGAGCTTTTGGGCTCAAACAATTCTCCCTTGCTGGGATTACAGGAGCAAGCTACTTTGCCCAGCAGAACATTTTAAATTATGTATATGGCTCTCATTATGTTAATTTTTTATTTTTTTGACAGGTCTCACTCTGTCACCCAGGCTGAGTACAGTGGTGTGATCACGACTCACTGCAGCCTTGACTTCCCAGGATTAAGTGATTCTCCCATCTAGCCTCCTGAGGAGCTGGGTCTCAGGTGCACACCACTATGCCCAGTTAATTTTTAATTTTTTTATAGAGACGAGGTCTCACTATGTTGCTCAAGCTGGCCTTGAACTCCTGGACACAAGCAATCCTTCCACTTTGGTCTCCCAAAGTGCTGGGATTATAGGTGTGATCCACCACACCCAGCCTTATGTTTATTTTGGACAACACTGTCCTTTACTCTCTAAGATATATTCAGATTATGCTTATTAGATAAGACACACAAAAAATTTACAGTACAAAACCTGTGCTTTTAGTAGCTACATTATATTTAATTTTTAAAATGGAATTCACTGAAAGTATTATTAATTTTAACATTTTCAGATATTTAAAAATATTCTCTTACAACTATACTTGGCTCTCTATTATTTAAAGAGTAATTTAGTTAAAATTATATAATATGGTTATGGACATTGGTAATACTGGGATACTTGATAATTGGTTCATTATTATATTACAAGTGATTCAGAATGGAATTAAGTGCCATCTTATTCCAAAGTCCACTCTTACCTAAGTTTTGGTGCATATCCAGAAATTTATCACTTGGTTTCTTTTAAAATATTCTATTAGTCACTATCATACCACTCAGTATATCACCACCAAAAAAGCAAGCACACAAATAAGGAAAAAATAATTATAGTAAGGAGTTACCTTTAAGTATCTAAAATATTTATTCTTAAAATCAAGGAGTCTTTAACAATTATATTAATACAATATGAAAGCAGTCTACTATTATTTTTATCTGAATCAACTGGAACTGTAAAAAAATGTAGCAGTAATTTGACAACTCTCTAAATAGTATAAAGATGGCTCCATGTACATAAATGATTCTCTTAATTGAAGGAATGAATAGCAGTTTCCCAGCTTGGGTTAATACTAACATTATTAATATATATAAGAGGGTGATGACTGATTGACTGCTTTTTTTTTTTCTTTTTTTTTCTTTTTGAGACAGGAGTCTCACTCTGTTGCCCAGGTTGGAGTGTAGTAGCACAATCTGGGCTCATTGCAACCTCTGCCTCCCAGGTTCAAGCGATTCTCCTGCCTCAGCCTCCTGAGTAGCTGGGATTACAGTAGCATGCCACCACGCCCAGCTAATTTTTCTATTTTTTTGTAGAGACAGGGTTTCACCAAGTTTTCCAGACCCTGGTGGTCTTGAACTCCTGACCTCAAGTGATCCACCCGCCTTGGCCTCCTAAACTGCTGGGATTATAGGTGTAAGTCACTGTGCCAGACATGATTTTGTTTTTTTGAGACAGGGTCTCACTCCCATTGCCTGCAGTGGCGTGATCTCAGCTCACTGCAGCCTTGACCTCCTGGGCGCAAGTGATCCTCCCACCTCAGCCTCCTGAGTAGCTGGGATTACAGGCATGTGGCAACCATGCATAGCTAATTTTTGTATTTTTTGTAGAGACAAAATTTCACCATGATGCCCAGGCTGGTCTGAAACTCCTGAGCTCAAGCAATCTACTTAATCCCAATGAATATAAACTACACCTTTAAAAATTCTCAAATTTAAATTCAATCAAATTGGAATTTTAAAAAGTCCATGCATTTTACAAAACATACATAGAATAGTCAAACTGCAATGATTAATGAACATTTTTCTTGAGAGTTTCAAAATTCATTACATATGCAATATAGTTTTGACCTTGCAGCTAACATATACACAGTTACCTGAGCCTATAATGCCAGTTCTTGATTAAAAACTGACCAAACAAAACCAAACCAAAGCAGAACCAAAAAACCCACCTCCTAACTCTACCAGCTTGATTGCTGCCCAAGAACTATTATGATATCCCCTGATACATGGAAAAAATATTTTTTCTTTTCTTTTCTTTCTTTCTTTTTTAAAAAAAAGACAGGGTCTCACTCTGCCACCCAGGCTGCAGTGCAGTGGCACAATTATGGCTCATGGCAGCCTCAACCTCCTGGGCTCAGCTGACCCTCCCACCTTAGCCTCCCGGGTAGTTGGGACTACAGGTGCACACCACAATGCCTGGCTAAGGAAAAAATATTTAATAAGTTCTGTGTATCAACTCTGATATCTTCCACTAACTTCTGTAGAAAACTGAGACGAAAGGCACATAGATTGATAAACACAGAAAAGAGTTTTATTTCTACTGTACTCTAAGCACCTAGCGCAGGGTCTGGCACACAGTTGGTGCTCAATTAATGTTAGATGGAAGGGGAGAGAAGGAGGATGACTAGGGATCTTCAAGACTGAAGGATAGTAGAGGCCACTGGGTAAAAAGTACCCCATGTAGTGACAGGAAAACCAATAGTGGTTTTATGTTTTTGGCAAGAGAGAACCCACGCTGTTCAGAAAGAAGGGTCACAGAACCAATAATTAATAAAAGATTTTTCTGATGGCAGAAAAAACTGACCTTGTTCTCTCTGATCAATGAAACAGATGGGATAAACAAAGTATTTTCTATGGCATGTCCAAGGGCTCAATAAGCTGTTAAATAAACTCGAATGTTTTAAATGGGGGTCAAGTATCCCTGAAAGCAGAACTTGATGAAATAAAATGGTAGTACAGCTCTTTGAAAAACAGAGTGGGGAAAAAGAGCTATATTATATATCGCTAAAGTTGAACTTTATCATTTTCTTATTGGAGTAATTGAAATTTCCATATAACAAGGGATATCTAAGAATTGATCACAGCATCAACGCTTACAAAATAAAGGAAAGCTTGATTTTTAAATGATGGGGTTCAATGATCCATGAGAGCATGCTTTTCATTCCAAATACTTAAAACCCTGAACTCTTTATCCTGCTTAAAGACTAAAATGATATCATTTTTTTTATATATATATATATATATTTAAGTTTTTTACACTACCTTTTTCTGTGCTCCCATTTATTTTAGGTAAGAAGTCATCAACTTGTATCCCTAGGATTAAGACAGTATATCATTGCCTGATCAAAGAAAGTATTACTTTAAATATGGTCTCAAGTGTAACCATGGCATTCTGTATTCCTAAGATCAAGATTGTATAGAACATGTTAAATTTATTTTTACTAGAAGGGTTCAATTTGCCACTTTCTATTAATTCTGAGAAAAGACTACAACTGCTTAGTGGCCTTCCAATGAACCTTAAAAGAAAAGGGATCCTGCTGTTCATGTACTTTTCTTATTTAAATATCCCTGGGTAGAAGATCTCAGATGCAGAAATTTCACTCTTCTCAAGGAAAACAATGGTGCCCACTGGTGGCAATCAAGCATATTTTTAAAGAAAATTTCCTAAAAGAGTATAGATACTTTATAACTAATACATAAAACATCCCTTAAAATACTCAATGTGAGACAGTAAACAAGGTCAAAAGTTTAAGGATAAAATTCAGGTTTAAGTAAGAAATTTGGATGACACATACCTAAGCTGCTGCATTCTTTAAGAGCTTTCTCCTGAAGATGTTCTAACCGTACTGTAAATATAAGTCCAAAAAAAAAAAAAAAAAGATATTTCACAGACAAAAAGAAAAAAAATAAAATAAAATCGATTTCTGGATTAGCTAACTTACCTTGTAAAGCTGTTAGCCTTTCATTGGTGAAATCATTATCAGCTTGCAAAGCTTCTATTTTTGCCTGGAGCTCCTGTTCTTTTTCTTCCATTTCATCTATTTTATGTTGTAATTCTTTTTTCTCAGCCTGTCCTTTCTGTTGGATTTCCTCTTGTTTTCCCTCTGCTACCTAGAGAAATAAGAAAATTCAGTTATTTAACAAACCTAACTTTGTTTTAAGAGCCCTAAGCCAGGAATGCCTTTATTCACTTAAACTTCTAAGAAAAGTGTTCAATATTACAGAACATTATATGTAAACCTGACATTTCTTTCTTTCTTTTTTTTGAGATGGAGTTTCACTCTTGTTGCCCAGGCAACTTCCGCCTCCCAGGTTCAAGTGATTCTCCTTCTTTAGCCTCCCAAGTAGCTGGGATTACAGGCATGCGCCACCACACCCAGCTAATTTTGTATTTGTAGTAGAAACGGGGTTTCTCCATGTTGATCAGGCTGGTCTCGAACTCCTGACCTCAGGTGATCAGCCCACCATGGCCTCCCAAAGTGCTGGGATTATAGGCATGAGCCACTGTGCCCGGCTAACCTGACATTTCTAAACCAGTAAAGATGATAAAGACAAAGGCTTGATGTCAAAAATTATTTGCATTGGGTTACTCCTCCATAACACCCAGGAGAGAGAAACTTGGAGGAAGCAAGTAGGCTCAGTACACACAGAGGTAAAGGGTCAATGTGGAAAAAAAAAAAAATTGTATTTTTAAAGACGAAAGTAAGATTTTTCCCCAAAATTACTATTATTTCAGTTTTTAAGTTCTATAATGTTAACATTCTGAAATTTTAAACAAAATTGTTCAGTAAAGAGATGACAGTACAATCACTATTCAAAAAGACCTCTGCCTATAGTTTGGATGTTTGTCCTCCAAGCCTCAACGTTAAAATTTGATCCTCAATGTTGGAGATGGGGTTTAATGAGAGGTGTTTGGGTTATGGGAGCAGATCCCTCATGAATGGCTTGGTGCTGTCCTCATGGTAATGAGTGAATTCTCACTCTATTAGTCCCATGAGAGCTGGTTGTTAAAAAAGAGCCTGGCACCTCTCCCAGACTCTCTCTCTTGCTTCCTCTCTCACCATGGCACACGTGCCAGCTCCACTTTGCCTTCTGCCATGAGTGGAAGCAGCCTGAAGCTTCAACCTGCAGAACTGTGACCCAAATAAACCTCTTATCTTTATAAATTACCCAGTCTCAGCTATTCCTTTATGGTAACACAAATGGACTACGACAATCTCCTTTTAACAAGACCAACCTTGAAAACTATCATAGGTTAACCAAAGGAGGTATGCTCTGGTCTTCTCTAACAAACACATATCTTCTAGGCACTCAATCCATGGTTTGAATTAAATCAAGATAGATCTTCACAAACAGTTATAAGATTTTTTTTTCTCAGTTATAAGATTCTAAAGGACCAACTAGACATTACTCTATCATTACCCTATGATCTGATCTGTCCTTATTCTAAATGTCTCATAGATAAAGGGAATGGCATCTAAAGCAGAGTTAACAGCATCCCTGAAAGCTAAAAGGGAACAGATCATTCCCAGATCCTCTCTGGGCTTGTTCCAGCACGGCACTAAATAGCTGGGCCGTGCCTTTTAGATGGCCTAATGATAAGCAGTTTTAGGTTTTAAAACATCTGAATATCATGGGTTTTGCCGATTCTCATCTACTTCCTGTTATATATTTTAAAAATGTCTATTGTGAAGCACTGACTACATATTCATCCAGAGGAACTATGTCAGCATTTACAGGCTTTCAATTATCTATAGTAATGGAGGTTGGGCTAAATGGAATACAGACACCTTCTTTTCACTATAAATTTCAACTGTTATCAAATTTTTACATCAATAACCATTCAGCAATACCTAAAATCTTTTATAGAACTCTTATTTAATATGTAGTACCACCTACATCCTGCTTTCATACTTTCAGCATAATTTAACACATTCAAGGAGACTATGCAAATCAATTCAAAATAGCTATCTATACCAACGGTTTTCAAACTTTTTTTTTTTTTTTTTTTTGTGAGACGAAGTCTTGCTCTGTTGCCAGGCTGGAATGCAGTGGCGCAATCTCAGCTCACTGAAACCTCTGCTTCCCGGGTTCAAGTGATTCTCCTGCCTTAGACTCCCAAGGAGCTGGGACTACGGGTGCGTGCCCAGCTAATTTTTGCATTTTTAGTAGAGACAGGGTTTCACTATGTTGGCCAGGATGGTCTCAATCTCTTGACCTCATGATCTGCCTGCCTCCGCCTCCCAAAGTGCTGGGATTATAGGCATGAGCCACTGCACCCAGCCCAAACTGTTTTTTGTTTGTTTATTTTTCCTTTGAGATGGAGTATCGCTCTGTCGCCCAGGCTGGAGTGCAGTGACATGATCTTGGCTCGCTGCAACCTCCGTCTCCTGTGTTCAAGCAATTCTCCCACCTCAGCCTCCCGAGAAGCTGGGATTACAGGCGACCACCACCATGCCTAGCTAAAGCAATACCTAAAACCTTAAGCTATCCAGTATGTTAGGGATTATTAGCTTAACATACTTTCAGGCAGAGTAAATACATACCTTTAATTTATCAGATAAATCTTTAATCTCATTAACTGCTCCATTATATTTATTGGCTAATTCTCTTAATTCTTCCTGAGTCCTTTCATTCATTTCTTTCAGATGGGTACATTCATCTTCAGTATTACTCAGACTTCGCTGCGATTTAAGTTTATAGGCAATTTAATTAGAATAAGTGTATATTTGTTATTTAGAATTCCTTCTAAATTAAATTTATAAAAGTATAATTCTATGGACTATTCTAAATCAACATCTGCCCTGGACTTTATAAAGCTGAGTTAAAGAATTTCAATTTACTTCAGGTATACACTAAAACAGAAAACGTAACTAAGAATTAACAACAACAACAAAAAAGAAAAGTGGAGGGAGAGTAGGGGCAGGAAAAGGATGCTGCCATTATATAATTACATTTTTGAAAGGCCAATGGGTATGACTTTTAGCTGTGAAAATATTTTAAGCCTATCAATCCTTGAAAGCAAGTTTAATAATATCCAGCTATTAATTTAATAAAAAATTAAAAGACAATTAGTAACTTTCTTTCTTTATATGTCAAATTAATCACACAACAGTGAATCAGGCACTATGGGATGAGGTAGCAATACAAACTATACCTGTAGTAAGGAAAGGTATGTTTACCATTTAGTTTCTGATGAGCATTTTAACTAATTCTAGTAATACATTATGTATGTGGTAATTTTGCATTGGTTCAAAGAAATGATCTATATAATGAATTAAGAGTTTTTGCCCCCAAAGCAATAAAAATTGCATTTTCATTGTTCCTTAAAGACCTAGAAAGGACCTTGGAGATGAATTCACCTTTAAACTTCCTAAATATACGACACAGCTAGTTTTCCTCTCTGGAGAGTGAATTTAAAAAGAACAAGAAGTGTAGTCTCTTGGCCTTACACTGACCACCCTCAAATAGAAGCAAAGCAAAACCAAGTGACAGGAAATCAGTTCCCCAGCACATATCATGGTCTGCTGTATGGAGGGTGAATCCTAAGCAGAATGCAAACAGTAAGATTCCCTGGTTACGTTTTTATTTCCTCAGCCATTGACTAGGGAGCATAAGTACCAAAACTCACATGGTTATGTGGAGAATTCCTGTCAATGAAAGCAGCATAACTGTTCCTTCCCACCTGACAAACAGAAAATATTTCCTAACTATATAATAATACCCATGTTTAAAGTATCCTGGAATGCTTGAGATTTTTTTAAACACTCATAATATTATTTAGTATTTTTTTTTAATTGAAATACCTCAACTTCTGAAAGTTTTCTAACCACTTCAATTTTCTCCTGAAGAACCCGCCTCAGGGACTCTTTGGCTGTTGTCTCATAGTTATGTTTATCCTCTTGTAATGCTATAAGTTCCTTTCGTAAACTATCTTCTGTTTGATTCTAGAATAAAATATAATTATAGACAAGTTATTTTTTTAAAGCATTTGTTTGAGAAAAATTAACACATTATGACATATTTTAAATTGTATATTAAGGTACCTCCAAACACAAATGATGCTGGCCCTGTATTAACTAAAAAGATGTATTTAAAAGTTGCATAAGTAAATTATGCCTTCATAAACATATTAATGTCTACTTCCTATAGAAAAAAAATTATAGACAGTTGAGAATTTCTCTAAAATATACAAAATTAATTACTCTTATATTTGTCATACTGCAAATTCCCATATTTACATTTGTAGGCAAAAATGATCAATTACCTTCAAAGGCACCAAGCATTTTAAAACAATGGTTAAAACAAAAAGAATAAGCGTACCATAGGGGAAAAGCAGACTTCATGTCTGGGGCAGGAAATGTATAAAATGAGCCTGAAACATCTTGTCTGAAATGACAGCATGAAGCTATCAATCTGAAAGACATTTACACAGACCAAAGATGGGATAATTCGAGCATCAATAAGAAAAACAGGCTGGCCGCAGTAATTCACGCCTGTAATCCCAGCACTTTGGGAGGCCGAGATGGGAGGACTGCATGAGCTCAGGAGTTCAAGACTAGCCTGGGCAACATAGTAGACCCTGTCTCTAAAACAAGAAAAACAACTGCACCAGATTTAAATATATCAAATGTGTTTAAATCTAAGTGAAGGGAGAAAACACTTCATGGCCAGTCTTTGGTAGATGAAAAAGAACCAATTCATTATTCTGAAATCTAATAAATAAGGGGAGAAAATCACTTATCTTGCTTTCCCCATAGAAAACATACCTCAGGGTTATTTAAATTTTTTTATTCCAATAGCTTTAGGGATACAAGCGGTTTTTGGTTACATGGATAAATTATGTAGTGTTGTTGTCTGGGATTTTAATGCACTCATCACCTGAATACTGTATATTGTATTCAATAGGGAGTTTTTCATCCCTCACTCCCCTCTCACTTTCCCAACTTCTGAGTCTCCAATGTCCATCATACCACTCTGTATGCCTTTGCATAACTATAGCTTACCTTCTACTTATAAATGAGAACATTTGGTATTTGGTTTTTGACGGCACAGTTACAAAAAACAATGGCCATTGTTTTTTCCTTTTTTTGTTTTTTTAGAGACAGGGTCTCTCTTTGTCACCAAGGCTGGAGTGCAGTTCTGCAAACATAACTCACTGTAATCACAAACTCCTGGGCTCAAGTGATCCTTCCACCTAAGCCTCCCAAGTAGCTAGGACTATAGGTATGTACCACCATGCTAAGCAAATATTTAATTTTTGGTAGAGACTGGGTTTTGCCATATTGCCCATACTGGTCTCAAACTGACCCCGCTTTTTTTTTTTTTTTTTTTTTTTTTTTGAGACAGTCTTGCTCTGTCGCCCAGGCTGGAGTTTAGAGGCGATCTTGGCTCACTGCAACCTCTACCCCCCAAGGTTTAAGCAATTCTCCTGTCTCAGCCTCGCGAGTAGCTGGGATTACAGGTACATACCACCATGTCCAGCTAATTTTTGTATTTTTAGTAGAGATGGGGTTTTGCCATGTTGGCCATGCTGGTTTTGAACGCCTGACCTCAAGTGATACGCCTGCGTCGGCCTCCCAAAGTGCTGGGATTACAGGCATGAGCCACTGTGTCTGGAAGGAAACTTCTCTTTACAGAAGTAACCCAGCTAAATGAGTGAAGAAATAACAGAATTACATCACTATTTTTATAACTTTTTTTTGTGGTGGTGGTGGTTGTTGAGACAGTTTCACTCTTGTTGCTCAGGCTACAGTGCAATGGCACAGTCTCGGCTCATTGCAACCTCGGCTCATTGCAACCAGAGGTTCAAGGGATTCTCCTGCCTCAGCCTCCCAAGTACCTGAGATTACAGGCATGTGCCACCATGTTTGGCTAATTTTGTTTTAGTAGTGACGGGATTTCTCCATGTTGGTCAGGCTGGTCTTGAACTCTCGAGCTCAGGTGATCCGCCTGCCTCAGCTTCCCAAAGTGCTGGGATTACAGGAGTGAGCCACTGAGCCCAGCCTTATTTTTGTAACCTTAATGAAACAATGGACTAGGCTGGGATCATTAGTGATTGATAAAATCTCAAAAAGAAAGACAACTAGACTTTATGTTGTCCTTTGGTGGAAGAACACAATACCATCCCTAAAGGGTTGTTGACAAAAAGAAAAACTGAACCTAAATCAGATTAAATCTCTAGATGAAACTACTAATTTATGGAGTGGGAGGGGGAGCTAAAAAATGTTTAAATAACAATGCAGACTGAGGGAAATTCTAGAGGACAAATGACCCAGTTTTTTCAAGAAATATTAATTGTAATAGAAAAAAGATGTGTATGTGGGTATTCATTACATAATTATTTTTATTTACATGGATGTCTGAAATTTCTCATGACAAAAGATTTAAAAGAATTGTGGAAATGTATGAAGTTTTTAGCATATACTCAAAATGATAGTCAAAGAAATGATGTTACATAAAAAACTATGCATTTCATTTTACACATTTGAGATTAATACCTACTTTGGAGCATGCCTGTAATTGGTTTCCCATAACTTCTAACCGTGATAAGAGTCTATCTTCATCTATTAAAGCCTATTGAAGAAAAATTAAACATAAGTAAAACCCGAGTAATTATAAAGTCACATGTATATAAAAAAAGGTTGCTACTGACAACAAAAGATATAAAAGCATAAAACTGACCAGCATCCACTGTAAAATGCTAAATTTTCAACAACTTGTTCATTAGTTAGGAAATAATTTTGTCTTTGTTTGCTACATTTTAGTTTATTTAACATGTATGGAATATTAAATTATGTTTAAATGTTTCTTAAATATAAAACAACTGGAATACCTGCCAACTGGTATCTGAAGCCTCTTGGGTGATGGCTAGTAGCCGCTGAAGCGTGGCTAACTTCTGTTCCAACATTTGTTCCCGATGTAAGGCCTCCTAGTATTACAAATCACAAAAGAGATTCCAATAAGCTCATCATGATTCTTTTGAGGAGTGATCAATTTTCAGCACATTCTAAAATATCTTCATATTACATCCCCCTTGATGTATTTTAAAGTATGTGACACTTGATAGTACTTAGTAAAATATACAGCAGTCCCTGCTTATCTCTGGTTTCCCTTTCCAGTTTCAGTTATAGTGCAGTACAAGATACACTGAGAAAGACAGACAGAATGTTGACATTCACATAACTTTTATTCACGTAACAGTATACTGTTGTAATTGTTCTATTTTATTATTATTGTTAATTTCTTACTATGCTTAATTTATAAGTTAAACTTTATCATAGGTATGTGTATGTATAGGAAAAAACACAGTAGATACAGAGTTTGGCACTATCTGTGATTTCAGGCATCTACTGGGGGTCATGGAACATATTCCCTGCAAATAGGAAATGACTACTTTATGTATATGGGCCACATCATTTTAGTCTCATTTGTTGGGCTGAAAGTACCGCCATTAGAGGTTCTCTAACTGCAACTTCTCCCCTAATAGAAAACAAGTCACTTGTTTTTGTTTTCTTTTTATGCATAATTTGGAAGAGCAAGTTTTTAAAAACATACAATAGAAAAAGCTAATACACAGTGTGTATGTAGACATATACCTATACATACACACACATATATAGAAGTCATGCACCACAAAACAACATTTCAGTCAACTATAGACTGCATATACACAGTAGTCCCAAAAAATTATAATGAAGCTGAAAAATTTCTGTCGCTTAGTGACATCATAGCCACCCTAACACTGTAACACAAGGGGGCATTACTCATGTGTCTGAGGAGATGTTGGTGTAAACAAACCTACTGTGCTGCCAGTTATATAAAAGTATAGCACATATAATTATATATAGTACATAATACATAATAGTATTATATGACTGTTATTAGTTTATGCATGTACTATACTTTTTATTGTTAATTATATATTCCTTCTGCTTATTAAAAAGAAAAAAAGGTTAACTATAAAATACCTTCAGAGAGGTCCTTTAGGAGGTATCCTGAAGAAGGCACTGTTATCACAGGAGATGACAGCTCCATGCATGTTACTGCCCCTGAAGACTTTTCAGTGGGATAGGATGTGGAGGTGGAAGAGAGTGATACTGATGATCTTGATATTGTGTAGGCCTAGGCTAACGTGTGTGTTTATGTCTTCATTTATAACAAAAAAGTTTAAAAAGTAAAAATAAGTTTAAAACATTTTTAATAAAAAGCTTATAATTTAAGAATAGAAACAAATTTTTTTTTTTTTTTTTCTGAGACGGAGTCTGACTGTCGCCCAGGTTGGAGTGGCACGGTCTCCGCTCACTGCAAGCTCCGCCTCCCGGGTTCACGCCATTCTCCTGCCTCAGCCTCTCAAGTAGCTGGGACTACAGGCACCCGCCACTATGCCTGGCTAATTTTTTATATTTTTAGTAGAGACCGGGTTTCACCTGTGTAGCCAGGATGGTCTGGATCTCCTGACCTCGTGATCCACTCGCCTCGGCCTCCCAAAGTGCTGGGATTACAGGTGTGAGCCACCACGCCTGGCCAGAAACAAAGTATTTTTGAACAGCTGTACTATGTGTTTGTGTTTTAAGCTAAGTGTGAATACAAGAGTCAAAAAAGTTTTAAAACTTGTAAGTGTATAAAGTAAAAAAGTTATAGTAAGCTAAGTTTAGCTTATTATAGAAGAAAGAAAAACTTTTTTTTCTTTTTTTGAGACCAGAGTCTAGCTCTGTCACCCAGGCTGGAGTGCAGTTGCATGATGATGTCACTAAGTGATGGCTCACAGTAATCTCAAATTCCTGAGCTTGTGATCCTCCTGCCTCAGCACCCCCTATAGCTAGGATGCAGACACGCACCACCATGCCCAGTTAATTTTTTTTTCTTTTTCTGAGACGAGTCTCGCTCTGTTGTGCAGGCTGGAGTACAATGGCGCGATCTTGGCTCAATGCAACCTCTGCCTCTTGGGTTCAAGTGATTCTCTCACCTCTGCCTCCTGAGTAGCTGGGATGATAGGCAATGCCATCACGCCTGGCTCATTTTTGTATTTTTAGTAGAGATGGCATTTCACCATGTTGGACAGCCTGGTCTCGAACTCCTGACCTCAAGTGATCTGCCCACCTTGGCCTCCCAAAGTGCTGGGATCACAGGCGTGAGTCCCCGCACCCAACCACCAGCTAATATTTTTAAATTTTTTTTTTTTTTTTTTAACAGATGGGTCCTTCTTATGTTGCTCAGGATGGTCTTGAACTCCTGGTCTCAAGTGATCCTCCCACCTCAGCCATCCAAAGTGCTGGGATTTCAAGCATAAGCCACCATGCTTGCCCCAAAAACTTTTAAAATATATATTTAAAGTAGCCTAAGTGTACGATGTTTATAAAGTCTATGGTAGTGTACAATAATGTCATAGGCCTTCACATTCACTTACTACTCACTCACTGACTCACCCAGAGCAGCTTCCAGTCCTGCAAGCTCTATTGATGGTAAGCGCCTTGTACAGGTATATCATTTTCTATCTTTTTCTTTTCTTTTCTTTTTTGAGACAGAGCCTTGCTCTGTCATCCAGGCTGGAGTGCAGGGGTGTGATCTCAGCTTACTGCAACTCTGCCTCCGGGTTCAAGCAATTCTGGTGCCTCAGCCTCCTGAGTAGCTGGGACTACAGGGATGTGCCACCACGCCCAGCTAATTTTTGTATTTTTAGTAGAGACAGGGTTTTGCCATGTTGACCAGGCTGGTCTTGAACTCCTAGCCTCAAGTGTTCCTCCTGCCTTGGTCAACCAAAGTGCTCGGATGACACTGCCTCCAGCCTTTTTCTATCTTTTATACTGTATTTTTACTGTACCTTTTCTACGTTTAGATATGCTTCTAAACACGAATACTATTGTGTTACAACTGCCTTCAGTAAGCAGTACAATAACATGCTGTATGGGTTTGCAGCCTAGTATCAATAGGCTCTACTATATAGCCTAGGTGTGTAATAGGCTATGCCATCTAGGTTATATAAGTACAATGTATAACGTTTGCACAATGACAAAATCACCTAATGAAATCATATGCCTGTTGTAAAGTGATGCATGATAGCATATATATGTATACATGTGTATATATACAACCACATACACATATATGTGAATATATGTGAAATATATACACCTCAGAGCAAACTCATTCCAACTGAAGCCAAGATAATCTGGTCATCAGCAAAAATACTTTATAATGGCTTAATTGCACAAGTATGATATCTAAAATAGAGCTTTTAATTTTTCCTTTTAAAAATGTTATTTATATAAACATACACATTTTTGCTTTATTTTATTTCTGAGACAGAGTTTCATTCTGCAGCCCAGGTTGGAGTGCAGTGGCACAATATCGGCTCACCGCAACCTCCACCTCCTGGGTTCAAGCAATTCTCATGCCTCAGCCTCCTGAGCAGCTGGGACTACAGGTGCACACCACCATGCCCAGCTAATTTTTGTATTTTTTTGTGGAGATGAGCTTTCTCCATGTTGGCCAGGTTGGTCCTGAACTCCCGGTCTCAAGTGATCTGCCTGCCTCGGCCTCCCAAAGTGTTGGGATTACAGGCAAGAGCCACCGTGCCCAGCCAATATATACTATTAAAAAGAGAAATTGCTTTATTCGCACAGCCTATTGCATTTTCAGGTGTTCTGATTCTCTCTGACTATATAACACTTAGCAGCAATTAATATACCAAAATAGGTAAGAGTCCACTGAATATTGGTTCAATGTAATAAAGGGATTTATAATGAGAGAGTTAAATAACTATTTGGCAGTTCCAAAGATACATATATAAAATATATATAATATAATATCTAAATACATTATATTATATAATATCTAAATAATATATTATAAATATATATTATATAAATATATAATATCTACTACATGTAAAATATCTATTATATAAATATATAATAGATATTATATAAATATATATTATACAATAGCTATGACATATATCTATTATATATTATATATCTATTATATATTATAGATAGATATATCTATTATATAATAGATATTATATATGTAATAGATATTATATAATTATATCTATTAATTAGATATCTATTAATCTATTATATAATTATATCTATTAATCTATTATATCATTATATCTATATAATAGATATAATGATATAATAGATGTTATATATATCATATAAATATAAATATATAAATATAACAATAGATATATTTATAGATTATATATGATATATTTATAGATTATATATTTATATAATAGATATATATGTAATAAATATGATATACTTATATCTCTATATCTATATATAGATATCTATGTACCTATAATATATATTATATATCTATTACATATATAATATATATTACATATGTAATAGATATTATATAATTATATAGTATATATATTTTTTGAGATGGAATTTCAATCTTACTGCCCAGGTTGGAGTGCAATGGCACGATCTTGGCTCACCGCAACCTCCGCCTCCCGTGTCCAAGTGATTCTCCTGCCTCAGCCTCCCAAGTAGCTGGGATTACAGGCATGCACCACCACGCCCGGCTGATTTTGTATTTTTAGTAGAGATGGCGTTTCTCCATTTTGGTCAGGCTGGTCTTGAACTCCTGACCTCAGGTGATCTACCAGCCTCAGCCCCCCAAAGTGCTGGGATTACAGGCATAGCCACTGCGCCCGGCCCAAAGATATATTTTACAGAGAAAGACATTAGTGTACAAAGTCTAAACTCTAGGTGGCTTGTTAGCAGTTGATAGCTGTTAAGCAGGTCTCCTTCATCCGCAATCAAGGTGAAATGCTCATAGCATTTAGTTGTGTTTTGGCATACCTTCTTCACCTTGTTCTATTCCTGTCATTATCCAGAGCAACACTTATGACCCTAATGCCTCTGAGACACCTCAACAGAGAAGTATGCGCTTCAAACATAGTACTTGAGGTTTAAAGCATGAATTTATTGCTCTTCACATCCTTGATAAATAATGAATATGGAAAATTTTGTCTAGAGGTACTACATTTTAATGTAACTCTAAAACTATAGGTTAAATAATCTAATAAAAAGCCATACACCTCAGAATCTATATTAAAACACAGCTTCACTTAAAAGAGACTATTTGCCAAGTTTAAGTTCCTAAAACATTCCTAATATCCAGGAAATTCCTCAGATGCTGCAAAAAGTTTTACTGAAAAACAAAACCATCAACCAACCATATCTTTAGAATCTACTTCCACTAGATGGTGTAATTTCATCTTTTTAATTCAATTCCATTTAGAGTTTAACTCCATGAACTATATCCTAACAGAAATCTAGTAAGTCCAGCAATGGTCTTTTAGTTAGTTCTAAGGTATAAAATGCACCTATTCCAGTTTTTATTCAAAATGTTCACAATTTACATTAGAACTTTAGCAGTCAATAAGAATGTATACAGAAAAGACTGTGGTATAATTTTATCTCAAAGAGCTAGAAAAGGAACAGTAGAGGATTAGGACACTAGGAATATTCACAGAACAAGAAGGTTGGAAAGAGTGAGAGAGTGAGGGAGTGAGATATGCTATCCACAATGACTAGTAACAGTAGTATACAAGCCTGGGAAAATAATTTAACCTATATGAGCTCCACATTTCTCATATGAAAAATGAGGTTTAAATTACATTAATCTCAAAGTTTTCTTCCACCTCTAAACATAAGCAGCTTAATTAACGTGCCTTCCTATTGAATGGTAAACAACTACTAACATTTATGGCATACATTCTATGTGCCAGGAACTGTTCTAAGTGCTTTACATATATTAATTTTTTTTTATTCTTCACAATTCTGTGAAGTTAAGTGCTATTACTATATATCCATTTCATAGATGAGGAAAATGAGGCATAAAAGAGTTAAACAACTTTCCCAGTAGGTCAGAAATTAAAGCCAACGATTAAATCAAGGGAATTTTGGCTTAGAATACTCTTAAATACTCTATTAAAATCCAAATGTATAATGTTTTTCTATGCATACACTATGCCTGGTGGAAGATAAGATCTGATTAATACATTGATTAATTTTCTGTTCATTTTCATAGATGTATACATTCTTAACTAAGATGGAACTATTCTCACCGATTGATTCCTATAAAAGAATGTAGGGGGCTGGGTGTGGTGGCTCAGGCCTGTAATTCCAGCACTTTGGGAGGCCAAGGCGGGTGGATCACGAGGTCAGGAGATCGAGACCGTCCTGGCTAACATGGTGAAACTCTGTCTCTATGAAAAATACAAAAAATCAGCCAGGTGTGGTGGCACGCACCTGTAGTCCCAGCTACTCGGGAGGCTGAGGCAGGAGAATCACTTGAACCTGGGAGGCGGAGGTTGCAGTGAGCCAAGATCGCGCCACTGCACTCCAGCCTGGACGACAGAGCAAGACTCCATCTCAGAAAAAAAAAAAAAGAATGTAGGGACCCAGGATCACGCGTTTGGTTCTATTATTTGAAACAAAAGACAACTGAAGGCCTACCCACATAAAATGACTCACTCAAGGTCACAAAAGTGGGTTGAGTAGCAGAACTAAGATAAAAACCTCACTCTTGCTGGGTGCAGTGGCTCACACCTGTAATCCCAGCACCTAGGGAGACCAAGATGGGTGGGTCACCTGAGGTCAGGAGTTTAAGACCAGCTTGGCCAACATGGTGAAACCTAAAAATCTACTCTACCCTACTAAAAATACAAAAAATTAGCCAGGTGCGGTGGCACATGCCTTTAATTCCAGCTACTCGGGAGGCTGGGGCAGAAGAATTGCTTAAACCCGGGAGGGGGAGGTTGCAATGAGACGAGATTGCGCCAGTGCACTCCAGTGTGGGTGACAGAGCAAGAGTCCGTTTCAAAAACAAAACAAAACAAAAAAAATACCTCAATCTCTAATCTCCTGATCCAGGGTTTTCTTTTACCATGCTCCCTCACCAGAATAAGAAACACAATCTAGCCCAAACCCACAAAAAACAGAAAAAACAAACAAACAAAAAAACTCAAAACACTTGTTTGCTTTTTAGAGATTTGTATGGTACTTTAAATATGGCATTAACTTGAAGAAGTATCTGCTCTACACCAAGAAATTATTCTGTGAATCAAGCAGCACAGCACAGTGGTTACACAAAGCAGAAAATCTCAGGTCTGGCCGTCCAGGTTCAAATCCCAGCTCTACCATATACTTGATGTGTGATATTGTATAAATTATTAAATCTTCCTGCCTCTCAGTTACTCTATCTGTAAAAATAGGGATAAAATATGCACCTTGTAAGATTGTTGTGAGAATTAAATAATATAGGTAAAGTGCTAGAATGAAGCTTGGCATATAATAAGTGCTATATAATTACTTGCTATTAATATTATTAAGCAATCAAAATCTCTCCCAGTTTAATTTTATTTAAAAGTCATCTATGGGCCGGGCGCCATGGCTCATGCCTATAATCCCAACACTTTGGGAGGCTGAGGTGGGCAGATTGCCTGAGCTCAGGAGTTTGAGACCACCCTGGGCAACACGGTAAAACCTCATCTCTACTAAAATACAAAAAATTAGCCAGGCATAGTGGTGGATACCTGTAGTCTCAGCCACTCAGGAAGGAGGCAGGAGAATCGCTTGGGCCCAGGAGGCAGAGGTTGTAGTGAGCTGAGATCGTACCATTGCACTCCAGCTTGGGCTACAGAGTGTGACTCCATCTCAAAAATAAAATAGAATAAAATAAAACAAAACAAAACAAAAGCCATCTATGGATAAAGAATTGTTTTGGGGCTTGGCGTGGCGGCTCACACCTATAATCCCAGTGCTTTGGGAGGTTGAAGCAGGACAAAGACTTGAGCCCAGGAGTTCGAGGCTATAGTGAGTTCTGACCATGCCACTGCACTTCAGCCTGAGAGACAGAGTCAGACCCTGTCTCTCAAAAAATTTAAAACCAGATTTAAAAAAACTGTTTTGGAACCTCCTCATACTTGAAGAAAAAAATTCTTCTCGTACAAAGGCTTTTCTCTAGATTTAATCTTGACTCTTTATCTTTCTTCATAAGATGTACTTTTAATCTTTTGCTCTTTTTTGAAAAGATAGTATTTCTTTTGTATTTGTATCTAGCCAATATTTTTTTATCCTATATTTGTGAACTGGCAAAATAAAATATAAGTTGTTTAATTCTGAGCTTCTTTTCTTGAGACAGGGTCTTGCTCTGCTGCCTAGGATGGAGTACAGTGGTGCCATCAAAGTTCACTGCAGCCTCGACCCCCTGGGCTCAAGCAATCCTCTCACCTGAGACTTCCAAGTAGCTGGGACGACAGATGCACACCATCACACCTGGTTAATTAAAAAATTTTTTTTGTAGAGACGGGGTCTCACTTTATTGCCCAGGTTGGTCTCAAACTCTTGGCCCCAAACAATCCTTCTGCCTAGGCCTCCCAAAGTCCTGGGATTACAGGCATTAACCACCATGTCTGGCCCTAATTCTGCTTTCAAGAACTTTTAAAAGTTTAAAAGAAATTCTGCTTATAAGAATTCTCAAGATTTACTTTTACCTGTAGATACTGAGAAAGCTGGAATAGTTCCTGAGAGTACATACTTGGAGTGTTAGCAGCAACCTAGAAACAAATGACACAATATCAACAGAAAACACTTCATAAAAAACATTAAACCAATTCCTTGAAATGTCTACTTACTTAAATATGCAAAATAACTGTTATTAAAATCACAAATTTATAGCACAAAGGCAATATAGCCTTTTACGTTTTTTCTTTTCTGATGGAAATAAAGCCTTTTCTTAATCCAGAAATAAAACCTCCTAAATCAATAGATCCACATATTTTCCCTTTAAAATTCATCATTAAATAGTTCTTTACTATTTTAACAAGCCTCATTCATTTAGAAGTAGCCATCTTCAAAATGGTATTTTTATGTGGTATAGGGAGGGCAGGGACATGAAATACAACACTTTGTCCAGTGGCCTGAGGCAATGTTTCTTTAATCTATAGGTAAGTTTTAAGAAAAAAGATGGAAAGTAATGGTGTTTAAACACTGTAAGTCATAGTCAAACTATTTAGAACTCAAGAGTATTATAAGGAATATCTTCTATAAGGGTTTTTTCAAGGTTGTGGAATATAGAACCATGGCATTATTTAAAAAGAAAAAAAAGAGGAAGGGTCGGGCGCAGTGGCTCATGCCTATAATCCCAGCACTTTGGAAGGCCGAAGGAGGTGGATCACCTGAGGCCATGAGTTCGAGAGACCAGCCTGGTCAACATGGTGAAACCACGTCTCTACTAAAAATACAAAAAATAGCCGTGTCACACTACTGCACTTCAGCTTGGATGACAGTGCAAGACTCCATCTCAAAAAAAATAAATAAATAAATAAGAAGAAGAAAGGCTGGGCATGGTGGCTCACGCCTGTAATCCCAGCACTTTGGGAAGCCGAGGCGGCCAGATCACCTGAGGTTGGGAGTCCAAGACCAGCCTGACCGACATGGAGAAACCCCGTCTCTACTAAAAACGTAAAATTAGCAGGGCGTGGTAGCGCATGCCTGTAATACCAGCTACTCGGGAGGCTGGGGCAGAAGAATCGCTCGAACCTGGAAGGTGGAGGTTGCGGTAAGCTGAGATTGCAACACTGCACTCTAGCCTGGGCAACATGAGTTAAACTGTCTCAAAAAAAAAGGAGTAGAAGGAGGAGGAAAGAAGGAAGAAGAAGGAAGGAAGAGGAAAAAGAAGGAAGGAAGGAGGAGGAGGAGAAAAGGAAGAGGAAGAAGAAAAAGAAGAAGAGGAGGAAGGAGAAGAGGGAGCAGGAGGAGGAGGAAGAAAAAGGAGGAGGAAGTGGGAGGAAAAAGAGGAAGAAAGGAGAAGAAGGAAGAAGAAGAGAGAAGAAGGAATAAGTAGGAGGAGGGAGGAAGAAGAAAAAACAAAGAAGAAAGAAGGAAGAAGAAGGATAAAAAAGAAAAGAAGGAACAAGAAAGAAGGAAGAAGGAAGAAAGAAGAATAAGGAAAAAGAAATAAGGAAGAAAGAAGGAGGAAGAAAAGAAAGAAAAAGGAAGAAATATGAGGAGGAGGAGAAGAGGGAGAAAACAACAAGAAGGAAGAAAAGGAGGAGGAAAGAAGAAAGAAAAGAAGAAGAGGAGGAGGAGCAAGAGGAGGAGAAGAAGGAGGAAGAAAGACTACTGGGTTGCTGTAATATTTACCCCTATGTGTTAGCTTATTAATGATGTTATAGCACCAGTCCTTATTAAGCTTGGGAAGTATACTTTAATTAATATGCTTACTAGAAAGCAGAGAGTTGGCATTATTTTTCAAATTTAGTTCTAAATTAGCAGTACCATTATTTACTTCTGAATAATTCTCGGTATTGCAGAAGTTGATGATTAACCACTTTTACTTCTAAAAAAGGAATCTAACAGAGAACTTCAGTTTCAAGCAGGCTTTCACTCTTCATTCAAATGGAGGAAAAATGTAAAATATTTTTTCCACTAGTTTAGTTATTGCACTAAGAAAACTAGACTCCCACATAAATGTCAAAAGATGTATTTTGGGGGGCTAATTAGCAACCTATAATTGAATAAACCATTATTTCTGAACAAAAGAAAAATGCTTTCTAGCAAGCAATTACTGCAAAGTTTCTGATCAGATCAGGTAAAAAGTAACCCTTAAAGACAACAAAAGAACAATTTTTGTAAGCCTGTATTTTTGTATTACCTCCCTGTATTGGTAAATGTTGAGTGAACTATTTAGGTAGAAACTTTAACATATTTCTAGACAGAATTGTATCTCAGAATAAAAAGTAACAGCGAATACTCCTCATCCCTGGCTAGACACAAAACAGGTACTCCTCGTTCACACAGTGAATAATTTAACTGAGATAACAAAGCCTTTTTCTGAAGAAACATCCATCTTAGATTCTCCAGCTACTGAAGATCAGAAGATTATAATAACTATATAGCTATATGCATTCTACATATTTTGTTACAAAAGAGAAATAAATTTCTAGGTAAAGCATACTAAAAACAAACATTTTCAAAGCAACACAGCTGAGTCAGTTTGGAAAAAATAATCATTAGCAACTTACTTTGTCAACAGGACTTGGTAATGGTGCATGGATGACACTGAAAAGTAAAATTTAGAAGTTTTATCTAATATCCGGACAATAGAGGAAATAGAGTATGAGAGCACCAGAATATCTTATACCACAAAGTTTATACATTTGCCTTCATGTAATTAAAAAAAAAGTGAACTATTTTTCAATTCTTTATAAATGTATAAAATTCTTAGAAAACAAAAACATGTAAACCTACCTTGTACATATCAATATATTTCTAAAAACAAATTCCAAATCCAAAATGTATTAAATGCTCTTTGAGGGATATGAATTACTTGATTATAAGAATTTCTATACAGAAAAGGAGTACTCTATCCTTTTTCAGCTAGGTGTGGTGGCTCGTGCCTGTAATCCCAGCACTTTGGGAGGCTGAGGCAGGAGGATCACCTGAGGTCAGGAGTTCAAGACCAGCCTGGCCAACATGATGAAATCCTGTCTCTACTAAAAATATAAAAAAATTAGCTGGGTGTGGTGGCGCACACCTTTAGTCCCAGCTCCTCGGGAGACTGAAGCATAAGAATCGCTTGAACCCAGGAGGTGGAGGTTGCAGTGAGCCAAGATTGTGCCACTGCGCTCCAGCCTGGGTGACCAAGTGAGACTCTGTTTCAAAAAACAAAAAAACAATATTCTCCCATTTTCAATTTTGAAATATGTAAATTATGTTCTTTTAAAATTAAACATTCCTATACAGAAAGTCTTAAAAAGCAAAGTTCTGGAAAGCAAGGTTATAATTTGGAAACTTGTTCCAGTGAAGAACAACTTTAATCAAAACACTACTATTCCTCTTCTCTACCCAGCCACCTCAGAAACTGACTGAAAACTTAGATGTATGTATGAAACTGAGTTCAGTGTAACACTTTAAAACAAAACATTAAATAGATGGCACTAATTGATACTAGTTGCCTTGTTGGCCTGATAACTACTGCTGACAAAAAGGTAGTATAGCAGCTCAGAAACTATACTGGGTCCAAAATCTAGCTCTACCCACCAGCTGAAAGGCAAATTGCCTAATCAATATAGGTCTCAGCTTCCTCATGCATAAAATGAGATAATGAAGTCAGGTGCAGTGGCTCACACCTGTAATCCCAGCACTTTGGGAGGCCAAGGTGGGCGGATAACGACGTCAGGAGTTCGAGACCAGCCTGGCCAACACAGTGAAACGTCATCTCTACTAAAAATACAAAAATCAGCCAGGTGTGGTGGCACGTGCCTGTAGTCCCAGCTACTTGGGAGGCTGAGGTGGGAGAATCGCTTGAACCCTGGAGGCGGAGGTTGCAGTGAGCCAAGGTCATGCCATTGTACTCCAGCCTGAGCAATAGAGCAAGACTCCATCTCAAAAAAAAAAAAAAAAAAAAAAAAAAAGGGAGCTAATCATATAACCAATTCCATGGAGTTATTGGGGGTATTAAATATATTAATATGAATAAAGAGCTTAAAACAGTACTTTGGAAATAGGACTTTATCGCTACTATTAGTCTCATGAGAATATAGCAGCTAAGGAAGCTAGAGTCCCTATTTTATTTACAAGGCCCTGTAAGATACTGCTAGGTGTGTTGGCGGTGAGTACAGGGGACTCAAAGCAAAATGCATGACCTCTACCAGCTGCTAATCACTCCACATCCTAGAGGCCATTCTTGTAATGGCTAGCTTGGAGGTTGACTGGGTAAAGTTCTTGGACTGAACTGACAAATCATATGTAAGCTGCTGAAAAACTGATCAGATGTGAGTTTAAAATAGGAATAATTTTGATCCCACCTTAATAACTGCAAACACTGTAAGAACTGGTCTAATTCAACTAGTCACAAAAATACTAAAATGCTGAATAAAATGGAATATTAAGAACCAGCACCCACCTCCCTGCTGAGCACCCATGATACAGACTTCATTGATGAGCCTACATAAACTTTACTGTCCTTCTTTGATTATACATCTGTGTTCTCAGGAACTATGACCTATTCACCTGTATATCCCCAAAGCCCATCACCAGGCCCTAACAAAGTTGGTGCCTAGTAAAGATTTTTTAAAAATTATGTACAACTTTACTCCAGAAAATTGAAATAGGCATTTTAAACAATAATTTATTTTTCTTGAATATAAAAAATATTGATTATGGAAAATGTATGAAGTAAATCATGAGGAAATAAATAAAAATTACTGAATGCCAGCACTCAGAGAGAACCATTGTGGGTATATATCTTTTTCTCTGCAGATATGCACATATAGTGAAATGAACTTAAGAATGTCTAAATGCCAGATCATTTGAGGTTAGGAGTTTGAGACCAGCCTGGCCAACATGGTGAAACCTATTTCTACTAAAAATACAAAAACTAGCCAGGCGTGGTGGTGGGCGCCTGTAATCCCAGCTACTTGGGAGGCTGAGGCAGGAGAATCACTTGAACCTGGGAGGTGGAGGTTGCAGTGAGCTGAGATCACACCACTGCACTCCAGTCTGGGCAACTGAGCAAGACTCCATCTCCCAAAAAAAAAAAAAAAAAAGTCTAAATAGAAACAAATGGTACAGTAGGGATTTTTTTTTAATTCTCCTTTCTTAGTGACCCAAGTATAAAATCTTCTGTTCTTATAACAATCTCATTAATAAACAAAGGGCTAAAAATCCGGCAACACATTCCATAAGTGATATACATTTGTATTTTACAAAAACTACCCTATATATAAGTATATTCTGAAGTATGAATAAAGTTCATGTGCATATACCTTAACAACGAAATGTGGAAAATGAAAATAGTTACTTAGTGTTAGAGTGGTGGGATTATACGCAATTTCTGTTTCTTTTTTTAAAAATTTTTAAAAATTTTTTATTTTGGAGACAGAGTCTCACTCTGTCACTCAGCCTGGAGTGAAGTGGTCTGATTTCGGCTCACTGCACTCCGCCTCCTGGGTTCAAGCTGTTCTCGTATCTCAGCCTCCTGAGTAGCTGGGACTACAGGTGCTCACCACCGTGCCTGGCTAATTTTTTGTATTTTTAGTAGAGACGGGGTTTCACCCTGTTGCCCAGGCTGGTCTCAAACTCCTGAGCTCAGGCAATCTGTCCGCCTCAGAGTTCCAAAGTGCTGGGATTACAGGCACGAGCCACCTGCCCCAGGCCTCTCTGTTTCTAATCATTAGAAAATGATTGGTCCAGGTACAGTGGCTTATGCTTGTAATCCTACTAGCACTTTGGGAGGCTGAGGGGAGTAGATCACCTGAGGCCAGGAGCTTGAGGCCAGCCTGGCCAACATAGAGAAACCCCGTATCTACTGAAAATACAAAAATTAGCCAGACATGGTAGTGTGCACCTGTAATCCCAGCTACTCGGGAGGCTGAGGTAGGAGAATCACTTAAACCTGGGAGGTGGAGGATGCAATGAGCTGAAATCATCCCACTGCACCCCAGCCTGGTTGACAAAAGCAAGATTCTGTCGGGAGGGGAGGGGAGAGGAGATTACTGGCCGGGCCTCTCTGTTTCTTATCATTAGAAAATTATTGACCAGGTTTCTCTGTTTCTTATCATTTAAAAATTGTTGGCCAGGTGTGGTGGCTCAGGCCTGTAATCCTAGCACTCTGGGAGCAGAGGTGGGTAAGGACTGCCTGTGCTTGGAGTTCAAGAGCAACCTGGGCAACATGGTAAAACCCTGTCTCTACTAAAAGGAGAATTGCTTGTTCAAAATTCATCTTCTCCAGAAAGTTAGATTATGTACAACTAAATTGACAGCAAAAATTTAAGTGATACTAATATTTAACCATATAAGAAAAGCCAAACAATGAGAAGGAAATGGGCAAAGATGAAAAGAATTACAGAAACACAAAGGACAGAGACACAATACATTGCAAGTGACTTTGAAAAAATTCACAAGTTTTACTAGATGGAATCTGAAAACACACATGATTCCTTATGCAACTGTTCAAAGTTTTCAAACTGCATGAAAGAAAAATCTCATTATCAAATACAAACATCAAGGTCTTTAAGAAGCAATATATCATTAGTTGACTAATAGTTACTCATTTCTAAAACCTTAATTCTTGACTCTTAAAAGCTAAATTATATTAAACTTCCTAAAGTTTATTTTAATTTTAATAATTAAGCTGTAAGTGCAAATAGAAAACAGATTGTTTTAAATTTACAGTATTACTTCATATGCCAAGGACTAAAAAAAGGAAAAAGAAAAATGAATTAAAATGTTTTAAAACCTATGCCATTTTGCTTCAGATATCTTGAAAAGTAAACAAACAAAAGTAAGTAGCTTCTAACAAGCGTAAAATAAATGATTCTACTGAAAGCACAGACTAACACAGTAATGGGTGGGCCTCGCTCTGCTTAATCTTTCCTTCTCACTTTCCTATTCAATGCTTTACTTCTCCTTCAATTTATTGCTTTCTCTTAACCTCCTACCCTCAGATCACTGTCTCTGTTTTTGAAAGACAGGAAAATATTATGTTGGGTATAAAAACAAGCTTCCAGCAGATTCAAGGCTTTCCCCACAAATAAAAAATGTTAAGTTTAAAGATTGCTTAACTCCCTTCAACACTTCATCATAATAATCTCTGAAAATCCCAAGATCAAAATGTACTTACGTATGCTGCTTTTAAAATCTAGATTTTATGGGTAATTTTTCCCTTTCAAATGTCTGCCTCTAAATGACCTTTACACTCCTTCATACAGAAAGTAAATAGGACATTGGAAAAATCTTCAAAAACCTCCCACCAAAATAAGCTACCAACTATATTGATATCCTCAAGGTCTTATAAGATTGTGACACTGGCATTAATACCAGAAGTGATCACAGTTTAAGAAGTCCTATATTAAGTGAAAATAAAAAGGAATGAAGCTATCACTTACCAATAACTTATATATTTGAAACATTGTGAAAAACAACTAATTATCCATCAAAATATAAATTAAATTTGGAAACAAAATAATCTTTGCCTCTAATACATTATTATTTACTAGAATTGCAACTAAAGCAAAAAAGCAATTTAAACTTAAGTGCATTATATTCCAAAAAGTACTAATCAATTTTCTAACATTATGTAAATAGTCCTAAAGCAGGTATTAGCAGTATACTGTCATCTAGAATATTAGTACTAAATTCTTTACAGTACTAAACTTCACAAAAACTTCACAGTACTAAATTATACTCACTCTGAGCGGAGCCGGGCTTCCATACCATCTGGTAGAAAAAGTTTTATTGTGGAAACAATACACCCATGGGTAACTGGTTGAAACAAACAAATAATATGGATGAAATAATTGTTTACAAATATAAAACTTCACACCTCTCATATCTAAACACAGTTTATTCTTAAAAGTAACAATTTCTCAAAAAGAAAATAAAGCTAGTGGTTTAATGACAGTATTATTACCCTGGAGAAACTCATCTTGTCCATAATGAATCACAATTGCAAGGCAGAAATAAGGACAGAATTGTTTTGAAAAGTGTCTTAATCTCCAATTCTATAATAACAGTCAATAAAAGGTCAGTTGAATATATGGAAATAAAATTGTGAGGGGGAAATACACTTTTCCCCATCTGTCAGTATCAAACATAAGTCTGACTATTCCCAAATTTAAAATATAGCTCTTATTCCAAATCTTCCTTTCCCCAACCTATTACATACATAACCACACCTCACAAAACTCTAAAGTTCTGCATAATACAGTTGAGAATATGCCACAAAATCCCCCATTTTATGGGTGAGAAAACCAAGACCTCAGACAAGTGAAACTGCCTCCACAATTCTCTGCTATTAAGTATCAGAATTGTTTGCTAGTGTCTTGTGTTTCTATTTCAATATTTAAAATTTTTGTTTTGTTTTCTTGATAGTTGTTTCTTCCTCCACCCCCAAAATGACATCAATATAGTCTCTTTGTAGACAGCTTCTTACTGCTGCATCTTACTTCCTCTTTTTCCTACTGAAGATTTTAAGAGGCAAAACTCCCGCAAGTAGCACTTGCACAGTTTCCCTATATGTGAGTTTAATTTTAAAAAATTGTTTTCTGGTTTGAAAGTTGATGGTTTTTTCTCTTTTCTCTATTCTTCAAATACTGTATTACATTTTCCAGAGTTCAAATAATTATTTCACTAAGCTCTGATTAAAAACTAATGCAGGCTGATGAAAATACACTACATCATGATTAGGGGAATGGTGGTTATGAGACCATATACATTTGTCAAAACTCACTGAATTGTACATGTAAAATTGTGTTATACATAAATTATATCTCAACAAAACTGAATTTTAAGAATAGAGCTAATGTTGGCCGGGCATGGTGGCTCACACCTGTAATCCCGGTACTCTGGGAGGCCAACGTGGGTGGATCACCTGAGATCAGGACTTTGAGACCAGCCTGGCCAACATGGTGAAACCTCTCTACTAAAAATACAAAAATTAGGCCGGGCTCGGGGGCTCATGCCTGTAATCCCAGCACTTTGGGAGGCCGAGGCAGGCGGATCACCTGAGGTCAGGAGTTTGAGACCAGATTGGCCAACATGGCAAAACCCCTCTACTAAAAATATAAAACTTAGGCCGGGCACAGTGGCTTACACCTGTAATCCCAGCATTTTGGTAGGCTGAGGTGGGCAGATCACCTGAGGTCAGGAGTTCAAGACCAGCCTGGTCAACATGGCAAAACCTCTCTACTAAAAATACAAAAATTAGGCCAGGCATGGTGGCTTATGCCTGTAATCCTAGCACCTGGGGAGGCTGAGATGGGCAGCTCACCTGAGGTCAGGAGTTCAAGACCAGCCTGCTCAACATGATGAAACCCCGTCTCTACAAAAATACAAAAATTAGCCAGGCATGATGGTGGGTGCCTGTAATCCCAGCTACTCAGGAGGCTAAGGAAGGAGAATTGCTTGAGCCTGGGAGGCGGAGGTTGCAGTGAGCCAAGATCGCGCCACTGCACTCCAGCCTGGGCAACAGAGCGAAATTCCATCCCAGAAAAAAAAAAAAAAATTGGCCGGCGTGGTGGCAGGCGCCTGCAATCCCAGTGACTCGGGAGGCTGAGGCCAGCAGAACTGCTCGAGCCTGGGAGGCGGAAGTTTCAGGGAGCCGAGATCATGCCACCGCACTCTAGCCTGGGTGACAGAGTGAGACTCTGTTTCAAAAAAAAAAAAAAATAGAGCTAATGCATTTGGGGGTATTAAATGATATTATAAACATGAAGTAATATGACTGTCATCTGGAAATGCACATTAAAATTAAGAAATTTAACACCATGTATTCAATATTGATTTTCATTACTAATTGATTATATAAAAGTGCTAACACAGATCAAGAACCATCTATTGGCAGGTCACAGTGGCTCACACCCATAATCCCAGCGCTGTGGGAGGCTGAGGTGGGAGGATCACTTGAGTTCAGCTTGGGCAACATAGCGAGACCCAGTCTCTACAAAAAATTTAAAAATTAGCAGGGTGGGGGTGGTGCACACCTGTACCCAGCTACTTAGGAGGCTAAGGTCGGGGGATTGCTTGAGCCCGGGAGTTCGAGGCTGCAGTGACCCATGATCACACCACTGCACTCCAGCTGGGTAAGACCCTGTCTCAAAAACAAAAACAAACAAACAACAATAAAAAACAGAACCATCTACTGGCAGTCTTCTAAACTCTGCCCAGCACAATAACCATGGCCATGAACCACTGGGCTCCTTCATTCCTGTCTGACCTCATCCTCTATCCTGCTACCACGGATATCCTATACAAAGCCAAACTACCTGCAATCTCCAAGCACTTTACCTTTCACAGCCCCATGCCTTTTACACAGGCTGTCCCTTCTGTAAGCAATGTTTTTATCCTCTCGCCTGCATGACCATGTGCTACTTAGTCTCCAGGCTCAGATTTTCTAATTCCTTCACCAAAGCTCAGTATCTGAGTAAGATGTCCCCAGAGCCTCCTACATCTATTTCTTAAAACATTAAGCACATTACATTGTGAATATTTATCATTTACAGAAACTGCTGTCTCACCAATTAGATTCAACTCTTTGAGGGCATCAAGGATTATCTGCTTCTCAATTTAAAAACCTATGTACTTAGCAGAGTCATCTGGTACAGAAATCATTTTACTGAAGATGTTGAGGAACATGCCTGCTTAGTATTTCATAGCTCCCACTACTCCTATGCAAAGATGTTTCTTACTTTTAAGACATTAGGGTTCATTTCTATTTGTAGGAACCACCTAGCTTTCTCCTTTCCCAGGCAAAAGACAGAAGAGACAGATTTTTTTTTTTTTTTTTTTTTTTGAGACAGAGTCTCTCTCTGTTGTCCGGGCTGGAGCACAATGGCACAAACTCGGCTCACTGCGAGCTCCGCCTCCTGGGCTCAAGCCGTTCTCATGCCTCAGCCTCCCGAGTAGCTGGAACTACAGGTGCCCACCACCACGCCTGCCTAATTTTTTTTTTTTTTTTTGTATTTTTAGTAGAGACGGGGTTTCATCGTGGTCTCGATCTCCTGACCTCATGATCTGCCCACCTCGGCCTCCCAAACTGCTGGGATTACAAGCGTGAGCCACCGTGCCCGGCCAAAGAGACAAATTTCTCTCTCTCATGATAAATGAATTTCTAGAGGATGGCTCCTCGAGAGATTCACTATAAATAGCCTACAATAAATACAGGAGCATGATACAACATGAAGATCCAGCAATACCTACACTTTAATTTGGTAATAAAGTTGTTTTTTAAAAAAGAAAAATAGGTGGAACAAGTTATAGAATAAAACTATAAATAAAACAGGTTGCCAGAGGTGACAACCTGTGATATACAACATCAGTAATTCTGTTGTTCAGACACATTACCCTGAAGTTCAGCAAATGAGCTGATGCACAGATCTATGAGATGAACCAAGGGCTAATACTGACTGGGCAGTACAGAGTTGCTGTACAGTTGTAGGCAGTTTAAAACACAAAAACAAAAACAACCCATGTCTGACTAAGCTGACGATCTAGTCCAGTCAACCATGCCTTTGGTGTGATTTTTATGACAACTAGACATACACAGGCATAGACATGTTATCCTTTTGATTTGCAACAGGCAAGTTATTAAAGCAACCTGATGAAAATGTTTTGTTCTAATACTTGTATTAATCAACTATACATAGCAGCATTTCCCAAAATGCTAGCAAGCGTTACAAAAAAGGATCTGAGGGTCTATGACTTTGGGAAATGCTTGGTTTAAAAGAGATTTAGGGGCTGGGTGCGGTGGCTAACGCCTGTAATCCTAGCACTTTGGGAGGCCGAGGTGGCCAGATCACAAGGTCAGGAGATAGAAATCATCCTGGCTAACACGGTGAAACCTTGTCTCTACTAAAAATACAAAAAAATTAGCTGGGCATGGTGGTGGGCACCTGTAGTCCCAGCTACTTGGGAGGCTGAGGCAGGAGAATGGCATGAACCCAGGAGGCAGAGCTTGCAGTGAGCTGCACTCCGGCCTGGCAACAGAGCGAGACTCCATCTCAAAAAAAAAAAAAAAAAAAAGATGGATGAAGATTCACAGGACATTTTAAAATTTATGTTCCAGGTTGTGTGTAGAGATTCTACAGTGAAGACAGACACACTTCCTACTCTTGCACAGCTTACAATTTAGTGAGGGTGGTAAACATATAAAAGGGATGAGTACAGGGGCATGGAGTGGGCACCTTGTCCAGCCCTAAGGATCAAGAAAGGTTTCTAGGCATAGGAAAAAGCATGTGCAAGGGCTTGAAGGCCAGGTCTATTAGGAGGAGTAAAAGTAATTCAGTGCAGTTGAAGCACAATGCCAAAGGAAGATACACCATTGACTTTGCTCTTAATAGGCCCTTTGTTCACAGGGGCTTAACTAAGAAAAAGATATTGGTGATGAAGACCTGAAGTAAAAAGCTGACTGAAGTTACATGTGTTCATAGAACTAAATGGCCCCAAGCTTTGCAACAGAGGGTTACTGTAATAATGTGTGACCCAGAAAACTCATTCTTTGAGCAGTTTGTGGGTCCAGGAAAAGAGGAGTGGCCAGTGGTTAGGTTGATAAACCTCGGCTTTCTCACTTTCTTCCTTTCTTTTAAAAAATCTATTAGAATGTCAGCTCTTTGTTTACAATAATATTTTATCAATATAGAGCAGCTTATGTGTATATGCCTGACCACCGAGTTTTCTCCTTGAAGCCAAACACAAGGAATGCCAAACATCAAAATCAGATTGTTGGTGGGGTCCAGTGGCTCAAGCCTTTAATCCCACCACTTTGG